AAATTTGTATGAAGTGTTATGAGGAGAAAAGACAACTTTTATTTTTCATGCAATAATTGTTACTGCAATAGTTTTGAAAAAATTTTAGTTCAACATACTGTAATGTCCTTCATCAACATTTTTGATAAAATGTATTATGCTTGAGAAAATTTCCCTCAAACTGGCAAAATAAGTTGGCAGATTAGCGCTGGTCCGCAGACCATGGGTTGGAGAACACAACCTTGGTTGTGCAGAATCATTACTTGATTTTTATTCCTTTTTCATCTTCACCTGTTTCTCATCTGCGTTTGGATTTGTGCGCATACTTGCAGTTAATCCCTTGTGTTTTGATTTCATATTCCTGGTGAGTTGTGACATTCATTTGCCATTCAATTACACAATAAATGCTTTTGAAAAAAAACTATGAATGTATATTAAAGTCATATAAATCCTGTAAATCCAAATTTTCACAGTTTTTGTGCTGGTTTCACTAACTTCAGGACCATCCATTTGCAATTTTCATAATGCAGAAACGTTTCTTCATGCCTCGTTCATTTTGAACTAGGAAACCGGATCCATGATGGTCAATCATTTAAAATACTGCTGATATGAACACCCTACTCAACTCTGGAAAAAGTGTGCCGACACTGTGACCAAAATTCCTATCTTGGATAAAAATTCCAGAAAAAATCGGATCAATTTCCTCTTGCATTTTCATGAACGCTTTCTTCCACTCTTTCTGCTCTAGTGTAACAAAATTCACTTTTTGAAGAACATTTTACTGCGTATGTCATTTGCAACCGGGAAACCCTGTTCTCCAAAGTGCATATGTTGAGAAAGAGCCCAAACTCGAAAGAAAATGTGGATAATGCTATAAAATAGATGATGAGGCTTGTAGATTCATGGGTATATCCGTCGGAGATTTTCATCAAGAAATGACTCAAAAATGATCTCAACTGGACTAAACTAGTATTTTTTTATCGCAGCTCATAACAGCAGTGCTGGAAGATCACCCAGCGGGGTTTCAGGTGGCTAACCGAATTCGTTGTCAGCAACCCGCGGCACCTTGGTCCGTAAATCCTGGGAAGTGTCGCTACAAATCCGTCGGCGCCACTTCATCTTCTCCGACCCCTTCGGCACTGAAGATGCCCACTGACAATGCAACCGTGGACTGGGGGGCGCAATGCGGGAGTTCGTTTCTCGTGGAGGCCTTGGTGGGGCTCACGCCCGTCTCCGTGGGCAGTGAAGTGGTTCTGGACAGCATTCTTTGCTGTAGATTGGACCGAACTGCTTGAATAAGAAATGGAGCGCGAAAATGCACAGAATATGCGGGCTATGTTCCCGTTGGACGCGACCTAAATGAATAAATAAACAAAATCGTGACAAATAGTCAAGGATTCTCTATGGTTTTGGGATTTTTTTCAGGTTAAAGAAAAACGGTTTTTAAATTCACCGCATGATGGTAAAGGAAAACTTTCCAGTGGTTATACAGGCTTACAGCCAAAGTTCTCCACCCATGTCAGATGAGCTGAAGGTGCCAAGAAAATTGTCAGGTCACCAAATAAAGTGAATTCTTGACGTTTTAATAATTATGTTTTCTACATTTTCTGAAATACTATGGCATACTGAAACACTACATATATACTTCCTGAAACACTCCTATTTTCTTTTAATCATCACAACTATAAAAATATCAGAGGTCGCTTCCAACTGGGACAACCCTTGTACAGTATATATAGGATAGATTTATGGACGAGTTTGACACCTTATACTGCACCAGTGCTGGCCAGCATATATGGCCCGCGGGCCAGATCCAGTCCACAGAGACTTTTCTTTCGTCCCCCATGCAGTCTCCTTCACATAATTTTCAAGGTAGCTGCGGTTCCTATTCAGTCTATATTGTATATCAAAAGCTGAATCGTGAAATTTCAGAATTGTGCTTCACCCTCCAAACTTTATACAAATCTATATACCTGTGAATCATTGAACATAGAACTGAATTAAATTAGTAAATTTTCATTTAAAAGCGGAACATTTGGAGCCTGTATGTAAATATCTTTGCAATGGAAAAATGTCCCAAAAACCTTTATTGGGACAAAACCCACCCTCTTTTACTCGGATCCAATGGAAAAAATCATAGATACAATTTCCAAATGACACATTTTGCTGTTTTGGATGAGCCTTTGCCTCATCCTAGCTTTATTTTTGCCGCTTGCTGTTACACAAGATTATGCGCAAGTTTTTTTTTTTTCAATATTACTGTGGCCTACAAAGACTCACCAGCACCTCTGCAATATACGGCACATGTTTTTTAAAAACATGTGTTAAATGGCCCTTGCTTGCCACATTTGAGTTGGGCAGCAAGTCTGCCTTGAACTATGTAGTGATGTCAAAGAGCACGAATTTATTGTCTCACATTCTCAAGAGGGCAATCATACAAGAAATTACAGCAGATTGTAAAAGACAATAGGAGTACTGTGGTTCAGTACAAGCCTCCTTTGACAAACCTATAACTGTCCCAGAAAAGCGTGTATCAACCAATTCAATTTTCCCCACAGCAACCACCAATGAGGAAGGAATTAATTGATTTCTTGCACAGTTGCACCCATCTAAAGACAATTTGAATAATAATGTATTGAAAAATGGATGATCCCTTTGCTGAGGATTCAGCCCCCATGATTGATTTTTTGTAGAAGTTCTGTACAGTACAGTATACAATATTGGGTTTCTTCAGTGAAAATATGGCAAGATTCAAAGTTTCCATTGCAAGAAACTGTGTTTCTGAAAGACAAGAACGCATTGAATGTACTGTATACAGCAGGTACTACGATTTTGATGATGAGCAGTTAACACGAAAGAGCAAGAATGGAAGAAACCCGCGTATGCTGTTAAAATTAGCAATGGCATTTGAAAAAGTGAGGTTTGCTTATATATTGCAGCAGTATGCTGATGAGTGTCAAGCATTTTCATTTCAGTGTTAACATAAATTACTTTTTAATTTGCTGTATCCTGAATGAAAATTTTCAACTGAATTTTGGTCTGTGACTTCCTCGAACTGAGGGATTTTAGCAGGAAAATTTTGCAACCAAATTTTGGCTTCTTATTTGCAAGGATATTTCTGCCATCAACAAAAATGTAATAACCAAAAACTGTGTTAACTGCTGGATGAGGTCCAACTGTGTCAGACATTTGTCTGAAGACAAGACAGCTCTTACCAGTATCTGGGTGGGGGGTTTGACAAACGCTGTTTCAAATCATTAAAAAATGAATAAAATAAAACCCTATATATACAGTAAAAGTATCTATAGATTACCCAATAAACAACTCAACACCCAATACAGTATTTTCTTCTGCTCATCAATTGCAAGCAGCTACAAAGAAGTTCAACAACTTGATAGCAAAAATATCCTTTCCTCCACGCTGGTCCTTATATTAATCAGCCCAAGTCAGGTCATGATATAAAGGGGTTGATTATGAACCATGACTTCTGCAAAAGCTGGAAGCATTCTCCTGTGTTCATTACGTGTGTAAATTGAATATTTCTACACGCAGTTGAAAAAAACGGATCCCCTGACAATTGTGATCTTAGATTGTCCACGTTGGATTTTGGCCCGTCTGGAATAAATGAGTCCTCTTATTAGAGCACTTCATACTTCACAGCAAGTTGTGCATTTATTTCATTCGTCTTTCTGTGTATAAGATCATCAGTTGCCAGACTGGAATGCAAGCTTCTTCCTCTATTATTGGCGTCGGTCACATTTCACCTGGTTTCTTTTTTTGAAAAAAGAAATTAGGTGAAATGTGAGGGAATCAGGCGGGGGAATAATGCTTCCCATGTTACACAGCAGCATTAATGAATAATGCTGTGATCTGATTCAAAATAACTGAGAAGCATTCAAGTTTTGAAATTTTACGACATGACAAAGTAAGCAGCAGTTTGAAATAGGTTTGTTTCAGAGGTTATGTGGGGATTGGACATTTCGAAAAAAGTATGAACTGACAAATCTTCAAGTCATGGTCAATTAAATTGATGAACACGTTTTCAGACAGTCGTCAGAAAAAACTGCCATGTCATGAAAAAGGACCAACCAGAGGGAAAAACATCACAATCAGTCATTTTTCAAGACTGACAACTTTCCCGACAGAGTACGCAAAATCGGAATTGAACCAAATAAGACATCGAAGATGGCAAACCGCAGTTGTTTCTCCCTCTCATAGATGTCGCACGCGTATTAGCGACTCATTCATTAATGGGATGTCGAACTGTTTTTCGAAAGGAAGAAGACAAAATATAATAAGGATTTGAGTAAAGGCAGTCTTCTTCACGAACACGACGTCTATTATTCACAAGTCACACATAACAATAAAACAGGTAGACAAGAAGATGATGGTCAGTCAAGAGCTAAGATCGAAGTGACTCCCGAGAGTCTTTCCCATCGCCTCCTCCGCCAGTGGTTCCGGTGATGGCGCAATAACAGGTTCAGGTGATGATGATGCAATAGAACTGGGGGGTTTCGCTAAGACACGTGGGCGCCTGCCCTTCCGCCAGTACGGCCGTCTAGGTGTCGCTGTTGTACGTAAGGGGAGCCCCTTACTATATCTGATATCTTGGAACTTAAGCAATCACCATCAATTGGCCGGGCTATCACTATTCATGCGCATGTTCAAATCAATGTAAAAAAGTAGAATTCTCCTCTTAAATGCAACCTTTAGTGTCAGCTCCAGTGTTAAACTGATGCTCGTCATACCTTTTCGGGACTAGTTCGTTCAACTTCAATTTTTCTGTCCGACAATCCACTGGTTTCAGCAACCATAGCAAGGGAACCACTGTTTTCAACCAAAATCAATCTCCGACACACGACGTAAACATTTCCGATCGCGAAGTTTCAGCAAAAAGAGCAAAAGATCTCACAACGCTCGGGATGGAGAGTTGTGAAAAAGGAGTGGACAGAATCTCCTTTCGACGAAAAACCGCTGTAATTGACTAGAAAAATCTCATTTAGATGAAGGAAGATGTAAACTGCCACTTCCTCATGAATTTGCATTTCAAATTCACGCCCAACTTCAACAACTCGCAGCATTCAAAGCAAAAAAAAGCAACACGCTGGCAGTTTTCACGTGAACAAAGCCAACTGTTTTCAACTAATCCGCGCTTCAGTGAGCGTATCAGGACTTTGCACAGGTTTCCGTTTGAATAACGGGGCTGATAAATACCCACGATCGACCCCCCTTCCATAATCCCGCAGCAAAATTCAGAGAAGTACTACGTAAATCCCGGCACACGGACAAACAGTTGAAAATATTTTAGAGATCGATGCAAGAACAACAAAAAATAATTGAATGGCAAATTACACAAAAAAGACTGAATCCGATTCAGGGTGGAAGGAATTCAAATGATCCCGCGAAACTTCTTCTTCAATACCCCAGTTGACGTTGCATTAATCGTACAGTTAATTTTAATCAAATGTCAGCACTTTTTTCATGTTCAGTGGTCGCACGCTGAGAAATCGCTTCATACGAATGGCTCAATCGAATTCACTTCTGATTACAGGAAAACAGGGAATGTTTTTTTCATTTGAATAACAGAAGACCGGTTGTGAGCTTCTTATTGATCCGGCAGCCGAATACAGTATATTCATCTAATTGTCCTAGTTCTGGCAACAGGCATCAGGTGCCGAAGCGTTGCTGACACCGGGAGAAATCTTCCAACACATCGACGAAGGAACGACTGGTGAGCTCTGCCGCAGATGGAATTTGACTGCAAGAAGGATTACAAACTTAAAAATTACCAAGACAAGACAAAACACGAAAATCGACTTATTCACTCATTTTTCAATTCACCTCGAATTCGATTAATCATGAATCTAAAATTGCATTCGACGTGAAGAAATCGGCATTCTGGCCTAACTAGTGCTCAAAATATTAGTGCTCAAAATATGTTCGTACTGTACTTCGTCTTCACTAGCAATTTAAACGTACAAATAAAAAAGAACCGCATTTCTTCATACTCAAAAAAGGTTCACCCTTGAAAATAACGACAGAACACATTCACTATTACACCAAAAACAAACCTCACTCACTAATTCTTCAATTCACGTCGAATTTGATTAATCGTGAATCTAAAATTTCACACGACGTGAAGAAAACGGCATGCTAACCCTCATTTTCCGGATTTCGTCTCGAACGAGCAATTGGAAGGTAAAAATCAACGAATACTCAGATTTCTTCATAATCAAAAACGATAAATCCTTGAAGAAGCCACAGAACAACAAATTTACTTCCACAAAAAAACTTCATCCTAATTCTTCAATTCAATTATTGAAGAATTCGTTTAATAATTCTTGGATTAATTTTGAATTTAAAATTGCACCTGACGTGAACAGATGTGCACGCTCACTGTAATGCTCGCCGATTTGAACGTACAAACCAAGAAAGAACCAAATTTCTTCGAAGTCAAAAAATGGTACACAATTGAATACAGTGACTGAACCACACATTCACTCTCACAAAATCATCTCCCATAATTCTTTAATGGAAGTTGAATCTGATTAATCGTGTCATCGTGTTAAAATAGACTTGCATATAACGTGAAGAAACCGACAGGCTTACCCTTATCTTTTGGGCTTCGCCTCGAACTACAGTATTAATTTTCAAGTACGAATCCAAAAAGAACGAGTTTCCTTCATTATAAAATAGAGGCACATCTCAAGTCGTGTGAAAACAAGAGCAGTTCAGACTTTTCCATCAGCTACTCACAAGATCTCGGTAAGCCGAACGTCCCAAGGAGAGAAGCCGGCAGTGGACATCACAGGACCAACAACCAACATGGCGTCCGGTTCAGAAAACCCGGTCTTACATACTATCCTACTGATTAAATCACGCGAGCTCATCAATGCGTCTTGCATTGCAGCCTTGGCCAGCTCTCGTAATGCTACTACTAAACTCTCCTTCCCGTCTTGTGCTCCCGACAACGACAGGCGCATCACACGTTCAACGACCATCCCTGCAATTGGAAAACGAACAGCGCGTCGAAAATAATTCAAACTTCAGATTAGTTTATTTCACGCAACTCCTGAACTTCTGTAGAACGCTGACGGACGCAATTTAAAAACACAATTACTGTACAGTACTTCAGAATGCCGTCAAGAGCTATGCCAAAAACTCCTGACCCCCAAGACTACGTGTACTTTCTGAAGATTTTCGGCCCTGCACATAGCACTTTAAAAACCACTGCATTCGACGAACGGGCTTACGTTCAACTCAAGCTCTGTAACGGATTGGAAAAAGGTGTGGTCCAACGTCGACCTCTTTCCACAAAAAATTTAAAATAGCAACAGCCTCGCCAGATCACCAAATTTATAACAATACTGTATCCAAGAATTTCATGCACAGCGCCATGTCGTAAGAAAATAATTTTTAAATTTCAAAGTTCATCAGGTAAGCTTTGCGTTCAATACAAATTGAATCATCAACTGTATACTTGAACAGTACTGTAATGTACAAAATTTCTTCACATGGAACGAATACGGCAAAAGCTTCGACTTCGTATCTTGAGTACAACAAGATGAGAAGAAGCAAATTAGAGACGGACAGACACGAGTACCAACATTGCCTTCGGAAAAATAAAAATAACCCCGCGTTTATTTACAAACAATAACTTCGTAAAACACGAAAGGGATACAAACGATTTTGAGCCCAAGTAAAGGGAAAACAATTTTCACTTGCACAGGTACAGTGTCAACTAACCGTTGGTGTAGCCGTAATCGAAATCGACGTCGCAGGACTTGATCCGGAAACGGGGGTATGACTTCCCCAACAGTTTCTCTTGTTCTAGCAGGATGGTTTTTGCGAGAAAATCCTTCCTCCGCTTCAATAAACCTTCAAAAAGAGATGCAGGCAAAATCGAATTGATCACATGCATTTTGTAGACAAGAACGAAATGTGGAACGCATTCTGCACAAACATACGGGGAAAGAAATAAAATTAAGCTGGCATTTTGAAACCTCTTATTCCAGAAACCGGTAATAAGAATACTACAGTATTTGAAGGCGTATGAAAGTCGAAGATCACAAAAAAGTTAATGTCGAATATTAATTTGAATCTCACGCACTGAGGTCATCACAGTCACTTCACAAAATATACTGTATTGTACTTCGCAAATTTCTACGGAATTCAGTCGTCTCATTTAGCTCCACCGCAAAATGAAGTGCGAAGAAGAGCATTTACAATGTTATAGTACAGTATCGTAAATGCAAAAACTGAACATAAGCTCTATTAAATTAAAATTATCCACCAGTTCTGTTCGCCTTCAATGATTTGCGAGTCACTTGGACGAAAGACTTCCGAAAACCCTGGGTTCGCTCGTTCTACGGTTCAGTTCGTTTTTTGACACCAGCTATTTGCTCTTATTCCGAAATATTTTCAAATTCTACTGAGTTTGTCGCGCTGAGACGTCAAATCATCCGTTCATAATTCAGAATCACTGAAGTCCGATTTTTTCAAGTCCCCACACGAATTTCTGTACAAACAATGCATTAAAAATCTCTCTAACTCGAAGGCTTCTCCTCTCAAACCCGCTTAACTCGAATTTTCTGATGCCTTTTGGGTGTTATTTTCTTGACACAGGAAAGACAAAAGCAATAAAAAAATAATCTGATGTGCTTTGAAAGGACGTGAAAGACTATTCGGGCAAATGAACCCTTGCCTCCAAGTTCAGCATCCTGTGAACTCATTTAAGGCCCAGAATATCTTCATTTACAATTTCCTGCGATTCTTCTATCTTTCCCACAACAAAAATGATTGTTTTCCCTAACTCGAATTTGTTTGCGGTTCCCTCAAAATTCTACTCAGAAGAGATTCGCCTGTAGTTTCCCCTGCATGCATGCCTCACCTTCCGGATCGTACAATGTAACGCAGCCGATGCCGGCGACCAGACACCAAACAACGCACGCACACAACACATCCAGTGTCGACGTGTCCTGGACACACAACACCAAATGTTTCGGCACTCGGTTCACATCACACCTTCGCAGGTCCTCAATAGCAGCTGTCCGGCCATCGACGGTTATGCGTTGGATTCTGAGTCGCAGTCGACGCAACCAGACAAGTGCCAAGGCACATAGTCGCAAAACTGCGAGCAGCAGCGTCGACACTGCCGCCAAAATCGACGCACTCATCCGCCCCGCCGCCACGAAACACACACACTACACCAACTTCGGTTCTTCCCCCTCTGCGAACATGGACCGCAAAGAGGTTTTCTTCTTCATAGACGACTGCTTAAAATTTGAAGAAACTCAAATTCATTGGAAAACGTAAAGCTCGACGAGGTGCCATCAAATTCGTCTTCATACAAAATAGGTAACAAACAGTACCAGATAAAAAACATATAGCGTAGTTCGGATCACGATTCACTGACACGCATAGTATTCATCACGAGATACCACACGCTATCACTTTTAAAAATGCAGGAGCACAAAATACAGAACATCAACACAGCATATGGTGTAGTAACAGTTTATTCTTCGGAAGCGGAAATTTCTGTCCTTCACCCATCACCGGTACATGGACAACATGACTAGAAATTGTTTTCCCGTTTCTGCGCGCCTCGCTCCTAATTCTAAATTTGCGAGCCAGCTTATTAAGCGCATTCTCTTCAACATACAAATCATAGCAAGGCTATAGATCTTTCACACGACTTGAAAACTGCTTAAAAACCAACTCCTGATGACAAGAGTGGGTCATCACTTCAATCAATGGGTACTCTTCTGACTCAAAATCCAACACTGCCTGATTTAATTTCAGGACAAAAGCTTTTTTCTATTATATCAGCACACCCAAGTAAACGAAGGTTACTACCAACATTAGAACATTCTGAATTAAGGGAGGAATCATGAATTTGGCTTAAAACCTGACCGCGCAGTACCACAATAACGAAGCCATGCTTCAGGAATTTGCGGAAAGACAACTCGTGGAAGTGTTTGCGAAATTTGGCTTGGTCTTGATTTGGACACGTTCGCCGTTTCTCACAGGCTGATGAAAGAAATCTCAATATAATGTTTAATTAAAATCACCCTCGAACACAAATAATCGCTCTTCTTCTGAATCCTGGATCTTTCAAACTTCAACTACCCGTTCAGTCACTGAAACCATTGAAGATAATCGCAACACTAGGAATTTCTCCAGATATGTTTTCACGATCCATTGTAAAATTAATCCGCCCGTTCTTGACCCTTTATCGAAACTCGGCGCAATGCCATCAAAATAGGTTACATATACCCGGGCGAGCTGCTGAGCACCTTCTTGAAATTCCTCGCGATTTTCCTGGTGCTCCTGTACTTCACTTTTTACACTGGACGCCTGTTACTGCGAATATCACACTTTTTCAGCGAAACGGGTGCATCACGCAGGCCCCAAAAACAGATCGGGCATCACGAACACGTTGAACAAGTCCCACTTTACGCAAGAATCGTCGGCACGAAAACTGGGGATTTTCGTCAAGCAGCTCACAGAAGGTATCTCGAAGAAACGGAAGAGATCCCAGAGAAGTCATGGTGGTTGATGTCGTGGATCAGACAGTGGCGCAGGTTAATGAACAGGATGGAGGAGAAGAGGGTTCCCTGGAGTCCTCCGAAATTGAAGCTGGATCCGACAGACGACGGGGATCCATTTCTGGACCTTCCGGGGAGAATGTGAAATTTGACCAAGTGACTGAGACGGAAATTACTCGACTTCCGGCCGGTTCCTCACAGGGCTATGTAAGCAATCCTAGATTATTGGTCGGGCAGAGAGATGTCGATTTTGATCGCATTAAATGCGCTTCGAACAGTCTTCTATTGAAGAGGTACAGTATTTTCCAGGAGACATACTTCAGAAAGACAAATGCCACGAATTGATTCAGAGGAAAAATAATTTCCCGATTGCTTTGGTACAATGAGCGACTGGTTTGATTTTTCAACGTCTCTAACCGAAAATGATTGAAAGAAGTACAGTCGAACCTCTTCTAGCCGAATTTCTTGGGTTAAGCTAAAAAATTCGTATATGGAGGATTTTCCGTAGAGAGAAAGAAGTGAATCGTAATTCGTGATATTCTGGGCCCTAAATTGCTTCTTAGACGAGCTGACAGGATTTTGAACTTGGGGACAAGGGTTGATTTCCATAAATCGTCTTTTACCTTCTTTCGAAACACATCATGTTACATTTTCATTGCGTTTCTCTTCACATGTCAATAAAGTAATAGCCAAAAGTCACCAGAAAATTCGAGTTGGAGGTTTCAGAGGGAAAACCTTTGAGTTATGGAGCTATTATATACATTGCTCATACGTGAATTTAGACGGGGACTTGAAGAAAATCGACATAGAAAGGTATTCGACTTAGCGAGTTTCGAGTTATGGAGATTCGGCTGTAAATCGTTTGGCGCTAGTTTATCTCGTGGAATCCGGAGTGGGTTTACTGGAATATGAGTGATATCTTTTAATACAAAAATCGCAAACTCTGGCTTAAGAACCCCGGATTATCATCAGCAAGCGATACTTACTCACCTCTGTCTTCTACAGTAGGAAAGTACAGTAGATTAGAATCTCGAAAAGTTACGACACCGAAGCAGTTTCGAGTCATTTGACTACGGAACCTAGTAAGCAATTACGAAGGAAATCATAAGAAATTTCTCCGGCATTGATTAATTCATGGCTGTAACGTATTCTCATCGCAGGCTTCAAATGGCGATCCGAAACCGAGCTACAGAAAAAGTCGCTTGGACAACACAAATCGGCAATCCGTCATTTATTCGGGTACACCACGTGGACCAAACTTGGACGATCTCCTTCCATTAATATCAGAGATTTCCATGTGCTTCGCCGCATTCTTCCTAATACCCGGAATCGTCAGTCTGCTGTACGGTTCGATAGCCAGCATCCACATGCCTAAACCAAAGCCACCACCGGACACTAACACAACCGACATCCTCTCAATCCTCAAGGAAACGGAGGGTAATTTCAGATTTAGTTTCACTATCAACTCAGAAATAATCTCTTCGACGCTTCGAAATACAGGTTGATGAATTCACGCCACAAAAAGAAATATCACTCCATGACACTGTTGAAAATATTTTTCCCACTTCTGCACCATCACGAAGAAATGGTTCGAGCATGAGTGACTATTTCGCATAATTCGGTTCAATGCCAATCACTCAGCATAATCACGACACTTCTATTTCAAATTTATTTAAACTTTAAATTCGTCTCAACTTTTTTTCTCTGCAATCGTGAGCACTGTTGCTCTATCCCGCGAAAGCTGATGGGCTTTCGGTCATAATTTTTCAATCAATTCCAGATTAAAAGAAATTATGGAATTGTTTTTTCACCACAATATTGTTCTGAACTACAACAGGTATCAAATTCTTAACGATCAGGAATCCGCCACGAATGCTCATTGACACTTCAACTTCATGACAACCTGAAGTTTTATTTCTTAACATCTCACAGGAATTGACAATCACCTTGGCTCCAATCGAGAAACAATCGCATCATTTCGGAAGGATGAACTTCCCCCAGATATTGAGAGTAAGCGGTTGAACATGCTGACTTTCGGCGTTCTTCTGACAATCCTTGGATTTCTGATGGTAGGACTTTTTGTCTTCTTGAAGATTCTCAAGATGAAACGTAACAAAGCGAGGAAGGAAAAAACCCCGCAAGTACAGGAGGAACCGTCAGAAGTTCCGACAAAAGAAGGACCTGACGAGGAGAAAACTGAAGAGGCTGATTCGTGATAATCTGCAGTAGTCTTTGATGAATGCAATCAAATTGATTTAATTTCTGATGATAAATCATGATCCTGAATATTATCCATCTGATGGAAATGAAAGATGCGGATCACAACAGGGAAGCTTCAATTCTTTATTCGATCGAACTGCAAAAACAAGCTACGAAGCTACGGTTTTAAAAATTACTGCCTATCTGTAGATGATAGTTGAAAACCACAACAAAAACTTCAACCCCGAACAGTAGCAATAACACCAATATTTTATTTTATTTTGACAGTTCAAAATAACGCCACCGTTTCTGCATTACAGAAACTGAAGCTAACAAAAGCTATCAAATCAGCTTTCACTGGCATTACGATACAAGAATTCTATCAAATTCATTGAAATGGTAGAAACTGTAATTAATTTGGACACTGAAATGTAAAATTGAGTCCGACGTTAAGGTTTCAAAATTTCACGACACTAAATCCCGCATCATGCATGTTTCATGAATCTCTAGAGCTCGACAAATGACACACGGAGAAACCCTACTGAGAATAAGGAACTTCAAGAGAATTCTGGTTGATTTTCACCAAATCTCGCCGAACGCAAATCAGATCCGACGATCAACATTCCGATAAAAAAATTTTCATGTAAATTCAGAGGACAGTCTATAATCTAAGAGAAGCTTGCATTTAACTTCGTCATTCGAAGAACAATAAATAAATGTATTTCTTCCGAGGGCTTCCTCGGAAAAGTCATGATCTCGGGGCTTAACTTGAGCGTCACTACTACGGCGGAATACGGATACAGAACCACAGAAAAATAATAGCATCAGTTTAATCATAAATAAGAAATACCAGAAAAAAAATCGATTTACAAAGCAGGCGAACAGAGTAAAATAATCGCATCACGGGCGCATAAGTCGTAAGCACGTGGTTCGGGGACCGAATAAATTACGTCGCCTTTGATCCCTCCCTCCTTCGGAGCAGGGAACCGAACACAATAAATGCATGCATCTTCTTCAGCGATGGGAATAATTTTCAATCCGAAGGAAGTGAAAGGAACCGCTCGAACACAATTTTCCGTGACTCGCAGATTCGACAGCCCTTGCTTCTTCGATTCCTCGGAACGCCCGTCACGCGTTAACCGAACTGCCGAATCGACCCAAATAATAAGCAAGAACGAACATTTTAAGAGAACGAACACTTTTAAAATAGTGCAGTCATGGGACGTGATCACAGAATCAGAGGCTTTTCAACGCAAGTATTTTTTATCGGCTCAGGTCGTCTTGCACGGACAAAACCTTAGCACCTATCTAACCGTTGCACACGTAAATCATAATTATCATCCAACACGGAGCGGCACCGATAAAAATTACTGCCTATACATGAGGAAACCATTCGAATGCCAGGTTTGCCTCGCTGGCAGTTGAAAAGATGGCATTGTAATTCGTCAGCGACTTCCGGTTGATCTTGCGAATCGAAGACAAAATAGTCTCCCAGGTTTCCAAAATTTGGATAATTCCACAACCTAGGAATGCGCAACGCTATTTGCAACTGCTCCAATCATCACTTCAAGACTGAACATATTCATGCCTCTTTAAGGGCAGGATGTGTTAGAGGTTTCAAGGCATAGAGGAATGAGGGAATACAGGTTTTTCGAAGGTTACGCAATGGTTCGGCACTTATACATTACAGCATGCGGTGCAGGCATAACCAGAATTGACAATAAAAGATGTATATTTGATCATGTACAGCCTTGCTTGAGAGAAGCACGGAAGATTCTCCTCAATCTTCAGGTTCATGAAGCGTATAGTTTTGTAATGCGAAGAGCCGAACGTGTCTAAACCTCTATTCATGCATTCGATGTTATTCTTTCATTGCAATATGCAGCTAACCTTGCAAACCTATGCAGCTAATTATGCAATACCTTTCTTCGATCTACGTATACTGGAAGATTCTAAATCTATAACTAAGGTAAAGCTTTCCTGATTTATTTTTGCCGCATTTCTACACCGTTGCAACTGCTGGCTTGTGGCGGAATTCTTGCCTTTTTCATGCGATAGTTCGGTGCTCATATGAACAATTTATTGGTCAACACAGCAGGGTGGAAACAGTTTTAACTTCGTACGGAGCATGATTGCTATGACACGTCTGCCAGCTTCCACGAACTGTATGGCTTGAAGAGTTAAATAATAAGCCAACGCTACACATCAGCTTCCACCAATCTCCTAGAAAAGCTACACTAAACAAGTCTCAACTCACAAATTAACCCGAAAATTCTCTATTTCCTCACAAACAACCGTTCTTACCGAGAACGCCTTCCGAAGTGACGCGGCCGTCCGCTTGTGACTAGCGAGATTCTGCTTACGGTGCTGGCTGACGGTAGGATTCCTGAGTCAGTGCCACTAGAAGCGACATCTATACATTCACGTTTTTGTATTATCGGTGATCGGTCATTCTGCAACATGCATATACACACCATGATGTGATTTATTTATGACCATCACATAAACGATCCATATAAACGTATTTAAATTTGATGTTACCTAACCTCACTCAAAGTAATGTGAACTGTATAAAATATGAGACACTATATTATCTACCATAATGAATATACAGTAATGTAATTTATATTGACAGATGGCTGCTGGGTCACAGTATGCAATCGAAGCACACGATGTACACCCAGTTATCCTGCCCAACAAGGTGTAACTATAGATACTGTATCACTGAGGGTTGCTGGCGTAAGTCAAGGACTAGTCATTATACAGTATAGTACTGTACTGTACTGTACTCTACCGGAGTACAGTGTGAAGTGTGGACCTTTATTGAGCAGCTTTTTGCTTAACATATCCACACACTTCATTGGTGACAAGGATCGAACAATGTACTGTATCAGTTTATCGTACGACCGGTAGATGTCACGAGAATCCAAATTATGGCGGCCGCCCGATATGAACGTTTATCGTACGCAGTTATGTAGGGCCCGAAAGTTTCTGTTGATCGCCTCTCGAAGGAAAGATTCAGCTTAATCGTTCGTCTATCGTACGAAATCTTGTTCGACACGGGAATGCGTCTACAGAATCGTATATGATACGCTTCATTGCGAACCTGACCCTCATAACTTGCGGGTGTTTCGTTGTGTTCGCCAGCGGCAGTCATGAAGTGATCTTGTCCCTGATCGCGTTAATTTTTCGAAGTATTTCTTGTGTTGAGAATCAATATTCCTGGTGTAATACTGCGATCCCGGTCGCTGCTCATTGTGTTTTGCAGCCTGCCGAAATTCCCATTGCTACATTTCTGCGACGTTCGAAGTGGGTCGAACACGATTTTCCTATCTTTTCATATTATCTCACGTCATCAACTTGAGGAAACGATCTTCATTGGTTGCATTGTAACGTGTTTTTGTAATCGAAGGCTCTTTTCTCATTTTCCTGTTCTAATTAAATACACTTTTCTGCAGTGCCGCCCTACGTTCAAGAATTTGGGATTGTTTTGGAGGAATTATTATTTGTTTATATTTTTTGCTGGGTTGAGCCCCTGAATTAAATTTACTCTCGCCATCCAGAAATCTGCGATCCATTTTGGAGCTGTACTGTGTTCTAAAACTGGACAAGAGCTTGTCCACTATCCATGCCTTCTTTTCAGTGCTGTATTGACCTTTTCAGAAATTCGTGATTCATGCGTTTTCTCTAAAGAATTCGATCTTATTATGCCTCTTTGCAGTTTGCCTAGTTTCTGATACATTGTTGTATCTTGCTGAACAGCTACATTGGTAGGGAAATTGTGTGTCATTCCTGAGGTGTTTTCCTGTGTTTATGTGCTGTTTAATGTTGGAAAGCGTGAGTACAAGGGAAGTTATTCTCGGATGCCTAGATTAATGTGGATTTAAGCGGCACAGGGACATTTGATGAGAGAGGAAGAATAGTATGGACACGTGTGTGGTGTTACGGAGAATATTAGCTGAAGTCAATACTCCGCAAGATTTTTCAAGTATAGGAATAGGACAGCGATTGTTTGTCCATGTCAATCGCAAAGCTTCATTCATGGTGTAGAGTTGTAGATCGATGAGATTAAAATTTTTTGCTCAGCATGCCTGTGAGGTGGAAAAGAGGAAGCGAGACATAATCCTTTTCCTTGAAACTTAGGTTGACAGTTCAGTGCAGAACTTGATTCCTACCTGAACTTGAGCCACATGGACGACAGGCTGCGTGAGGTGTTGTATTGACATTAATATGCAGTACAGTACCTGCAATACAGAACCAGTAATAAAGGCATCGGAACAGGTTGTGGACTAAGAAAGGTGGATTGTCATTTTCATACTCCTCTGGCTTGGTGCTAAGTGTAGTAACCAAGATACGCCCTGACAACCCATCCTTGTTCAACGTTGAAGGTGGATTCTGCTGCATGTACAGAATATTCTTCTGATGTAACTCACAATCTGTTCAATGCAAGTGTAAAATTGGTGTTTGGTCTGTTTGCATTGGTCTGATTCATTCATGTGATATTGTTTCCAATGTGAACTGATTCCAGTTGTGTCCGTTTCCAACTTGCTCGCTCGCCTGCTGCCTATTTATTGACGTGTGTGTCGCTGATAATGCACTGTTGACGAGCACGGACAGTATCTACCACTCGGCTGATGCTTACAGCCTCATGTTCCCCTCCACAGTTGTTAGGCTGCCATATTGGTTTCTCCCCATCTCTCCCTCTGTTATTGTTCCCCGCGCACTCCCTCCTCGAGAATGCCGTGTGTTCTACGCGTGATGCACAGCTGTTCGGAGCTCATGCGCCGCAGAATCAAAACAAACGTCAGCCAGTAGGAGCTCGCCCCGAGCCACTTTAGTTGCTGTGTGAAGGTTGGTTGAACTGTGAAAGAATTTTTGCCTGACTCAGGATCCGTCACGCGTTTCGAAATGAACATCAATGCTGAAGTGGAAATTGATTTTCCGATGGTTAGTCTACGTTGAGCATTTTGTTCTGTGTAAACGAATTTTTCTCACGTTTATACGTAATCAGTGAAATAATTTGAAGTCACTATGGGAAGCTGTACGTGTTTCAATACATCATATATGCTGCAGTTATTTGTATTCTAATGTGGAGTTCGTGATACTCTGATTTTGCATTATCCACGAATACAT